GCCCGGGAGGCGTCGCCGCCGCCTAGTCAACCTTGTTCTCTCGGTCTTGTTTTTCTGCAGCTTGTACCCTCACATGTTCTCGAGAGCCTACATCAACTTTAAAAACCAGGAAGACATAGTCCTCTTCAGGGATCGCTTTGACGGCTATGTTTTTGTCGATCACAAAGGCAAGTGAGCGGTGCTTGGCCGTATGTTCACTTGCGGGCGTGTGCGCGGTGTGCAGGCTGAGTTCTGGAGGGACGGGTGTGAGCAGCCAGACGTGCTGCTTCTGATTTGTTTGGTTTTGTTGCCTTAAATGAATTTCATGAGTATTTCAAAGAGCGAAGTAAATGCCTTCTGCGCTGTGGAAAGGAATCTAAATTGATTTTGTATATTTCTAAACCGATTTTGTATATCGTGTGTTGAGGCAGTAGTGGTATCAATATAAAAGCAGCTGCTGTGTTACTGAGGTTAATACTTGCATTGTTACACCTGAGTATCAAGTCTGAAAAGTGAAAGTGAGTAGGTGTGTTGCTGTCCAAACTAAACAAAGCTGAGGTTAATGATGCCACCCGCTGCTGTTCCCCTCACCTGTTCTGTATACTTCTAAGAGAGTGACTTATTTTTTGGTCATTTTGTAATTCAGTTTAGTACTCATCCCAATTTACAACTGGGTCATCTTGATTCAGTAAAAGGAGCAGCTTGTTTCCTTGCAGTCTTAAGCTGTGAAAGTGGCTGCTCTCTGGAGACAGTACTCTGTAGGAAACAAATATTTTAATTCATTGGTTAAACATGCAGGTATTTAGTTGTCACTTTTTTCTCAATACACGCTAGGTATTCAATACATCTCATGTCTTCAAATTTTGCATTTAAAGATGTTACATTGGGTAGCACTAAAAGTTTGTAGTCTCTCAATGATAGACCTTAAACTTACATATTTAGCAAAAAGCTTTAATAACAGTCTTCCTGTAGGCTTTAGTAGGCTAAGGATTTCACCTTGAACTTTTTTTCAAGTACTTGTATTTTACATTTCATCCAGCCAGGTGTTTTATGTGACACAAAGCCCTGTCCACAAGATTATTCCTTATTTAGGAGGGTTGCATGACAAGGTTCTAACAACACCTAGCTCTCTTAAATAAGCTGGTTTGCAGCGTAGCAGTACACTGTGCTTGCCATACCCAACAGCAGTATTGGATTTATGCAGCCGTAAATGTAGCATTCTTGTCAGAAGATAAAACTTTAAAGCCTGCCTGTAATGTGTTGCATTCTGTTGTATTTTGCCAAAAATTGAGATTTGCCTCAGTTTCATTAACTTAAAATATTCTTTTCTACTTGCACAATGAATGCGTAGTTCATAGGATGAGGATATTATGTGGTGTGGTGTAGCTGAGGTGGCTGAACTGAGAGTTACGGGAAGTCTTACATCTAGTGTTTCCTTCTTGTTGTGAGTCTGTGAATTTACTGTTTTGTTAACATAGTGAAGGTGTTTAGTTCATGAATTCTACTGTCTCTAAAATGTCTTTGTTGTTAAATGGCTTTCAAAATACAAGAAATTTTTTATGCTGTCCAAGTGGTCTCTTTTAGTGTTGCATATTTCTTGTGAGGCTTATCTTCCTGCTTTAGACATGGACAATATACTCTATATCTATTTCATCTCTATTTTAATCTATTTTTCCCTCTGCTCTTTACAGGTCAGGAATATGCTGCCATAGTTGAGTTTGCACCTTTCCAGAAAGCTGCAAAAAAGAAGAGTAAGAAAAAGGATGCCAAAACTGGAACTATTGAAGATGGTATAACAGCTAGCTAGTTTGTTTTGCATGTGTGGAATTGAAAGTTCTAGCAGTAATTTTAATATAATGTTTTTACTGTGACACCTGTAGTTTTATCAATAGAATGTTTGCTTAATTATGTGTGAAGCTTATTAGCACTGCTTTGTCAGCTGCAAATCTATTAAATATGGTTGTTCTGGACAAACATAATGCAGCAGCTCATTTGAGAGCTGCCAATTTATGAAAAGGTGACACATAAACAAGACAACTTATGCAAATCTTACCCAGACTTCCAGTAGTGTGCAATACAAATTCTTTTCATGCTACGCTATATCTTTGTTTCCTTTTTTCTTTTCTTCCCTTCCCTTTCCCCTCACCTGTAGATCCAGAGTACAAAAAGTTTTTGGAAAGCTACAGTGCAGATGATGAAAAATTAACCTCTACTCCTGAAACTTTGTTGGAGGAAATAGAGGCAAGAAACAAAGAGCTAATAGGTATGGAAATCTATGTACTATGGTTACATTTTCCTAGAGCACAAAGAAACGTATGTGGTGTAATTTGAAGCTGTGATTTCTCAACCTTGAGGAGACCGAATTCTTTTGCGTGCTTGCTTGGTATTTGTTAAGCCTTTAGGCTAATAATTTTCAGTGTATTTTAGTTTGCTCCCATGCTCTAAATACTTCTCTAGGTTTAAGTTTTATATGATAACCTTCCTTCCTGTTTTAAGCCACTAGTCAGAGGTTTGTTAGCCAGCCTAGGCTGCGAAGCGGCTGCATTTCAGTGAGATGCAGTGATGTTTAATGCAGAATGCTGTGAGCAGCAATGTTCCATGCAGGCATAAGCTAAGAGAGATTGTGGTTGGGTAAAATGCCACAGAAATGATCAGAAGACACTCTTTTTAAGCGTGTTACAGGTGTCTCCTTCAAAGTGAGAGAATCTGGGAAAAGCCTAGTGCAGACTGAATATCCTTTTAGACAGGTGTACTGGATGTCATATTAGTATCCTAAAGAAGTTTATAGAATCCTAATAGTTGCCACTGTTCAGGGATAGGATTGGAATACTTGTTTCACTGCTGTATGTGAGAGGAGGTAGGCTGGATAATCTATAAGGCTTCTGTATTTCATATAGGGTTTTGTTGTAGGTATTGTAGTATTGGGTAAGGCAAATTGTTTACATTTGTTTTATATATTCTCTAGCTAAAAAGACCACTCCTTTATTGAACTTCTTGAAAAATAAACAGGTAAGACTTCTCTCCAGAATCTTCTTGTTGCTTGCAAGTACAATTTGCTCATTTAAAGCATGGGTATGTTCCAATGTGTATATTGATAGGTTTCTACCCTTCCTTTTGAGGAAGCTTTTGACCCAACTTCCTTGTTAACATCTGGTTCACATATTTTAAACTACTAGAACTTTGGAGGAACGGTGATGATTTATGTGCATTCTGGTCACAGCTGAATGTCTCTTGTGGTGCTGACAGACCAGATTCCATTTTAATGCTTTCATTTTTAATGCAGTTATGGCTGAGGTCCTTGTAGATGATCTTTCTCCCAGCACATAAGATCATTTTAACTTTTAGCAATGGAGAAAATCACAGATGGGGTAGATCTAATTAAAATTAGAATGATAAAGACTGAAACTAGTGTTGTGTTTGGTTTTTTAAGACAGTACAAATCAAGGCTTATGAGCAAGAAAGTGAAACGCTGCTGTAACGTGTTCAGATTCACAACAGAACAATAGAGATGACAGGACTTTTATAATGGGGGCAGTTTTGAGGTGACTTACTTGGTGATGAAATACTTTTATCACTTTGTGGCAGGGTATCTTGTTTAGGCTTAAAAGGATGTTTTCTAGTGTTGAAATACACTATTTCTCTTTGCTTTTACACACACAGAGACTGAGAGAAGAAAAAAGAGAGGAGAGGAGGAGGAGAGAATTGGAAAGAAAAAGACAAAGAGAAGAAGAAAGAAGAAAATGGAAAGAGGAGGAGAGAAGGAAGAGGAAAGAAGCAGAAAAACTGAAGAAAGTAGACAGATGCCCAGAAAAAGAAAGAGACAGATCAAAAGAAGAACCAAAGATTAAGGTCTAGAACAGTTCTTTATTATAAACTGTTATACTCCCTTTCCCTTATTATTTGTATATCAGCCTCTCAAAATGTGCTTTGAGTATTGTGTGAAGAATCACATGAGTTCGGTGTTAGTAAATGATCACTTTTTTTGTAATATTCAAATATTAGGCATTGTAAAGGTTTACATGCTGTAATGCTTCATAGTAGTATTTAAAGCTTTTGTCATGTGACTGTTGTACATGCTGCGGTAAACAGAGTTGTGAATTCACTATGGAATGGAGACTATTTTTAAGCTTTCTAAAATGACCTGTTTTAGGAGAAAAATCCTAGTCTGCTGTGTGGATTATGCTTACTCATACACTCCAGCTTTTAGAAATACTCGATTTGCAGTAACATTAATGTTTTTCTTACTGGACTTTGGTTCCTTTGATGCAATTTCGGTGTTGTGCCAGACAATATGTAATAGAGTGAGCTTTTTAGTTGAGACTTCTGTTTTCTTTGTAGCTACTTAAGAAGCCTGAAAAAGATGAAAAAGACTTGGAGAAAAAAGAAAAATCCAAGAAACTGGAAAAAGAGACTCTGAGGGAGGAAAAAAATGCGAATAGTGCATCTGCCAAACGATCTGATGGGGAGACAAAAGAAGAGAAGGCAAAAAAGTATTCTAGTACTTGCTATAAATATATATATGTATATATAACTTGTTTCCTGATCGTACTGAGGCTTAGGCTGCTCTGCCATGACCATGTTTTGAAATTACTTTCAAATTATTTTTCTTTTATAAGGCTTGGGATGTGTTCTCTGCAGCAGTGCACATCCCCATGATTACAGAAAGCTGTATGAATTACCTGACAATTCTTCACTGGTAGACAAACTTTAATATTTTTGCAACTCTCAGTAGGAACTCTGCAAAAGAAGCCTAGGTGTAGGTGACCTGCAACAGGCTGTGAGCACTGTCCTTGCAATGAGAGCCTTACAACCATGGCAAGAGGAGAGGTGTACTCCAGTTAGTAGTCCCTGTAAGTCTTGTAAAAGGTCAAAGTGGAAAGTTGTCATTCTTAACAGCTCCATGATCTGTTCAAGGTTCAGCTCTGCCATGTGAGAAATAGAGATGAGACAGAGAAATTCAGGTGTTGTCCAAAGCCAGAGGAGACTCAGCCAGCTATGTGAGTAGAAGGCTAGGAAACGCTAGCTTTCAGTGTCATCTCTGGTTATCATGCATGACTCGGCTTATTACAGCTTCCCAGAAGCTCCCTAGAACCCTCCAGTGTGTCTTCTTCATATTGCAAATTTACACCAGTATTACATTGATCTCCCAGCTCTGTTTGATGAATCTTTTGAGCTTAATTTTCAGTTTTGTTTTCATACAGATCAGAAGATGAGTGTGTAAAGGACTACAGGGACCGAGATAGAGATTTTGAAAGAGACAGAGAATATGAGAGAGCACAGAGGGAGAAACTGAGACGCCAGGAAGAGGAGCGTCGGAGGCAGAAAGAGCGCTTTGAGAAAGAGAAGGGTTTTAGAAGAAAAGAGGAAGAGATGAAAAAGGAAAGAGACTTGCTCAGAGAAAAGGGAAAGAAAAGTGATCTTACAGACTTTACCAGCAGCATGGACAAATCTGAGAAAGTAACCAAAGATGATAAAAAAGAGGATACAATTAAGAGGGATCGTATCAGAAACAAGGTGCTGGATTTCTTTAAATTCATGTGTTGATTCATAGGGAACAGTTTGTATTTTTTGAGATAAAAGCACTTCGAGGAAAGAACCATGTGGTTTCTCTGTTGAAACTTCTCCCTGTTCTGGTAACAAACTCTGCCATTGCTAGAAAGTTTGCCTGTTTGTCCACTAAGCTTTGCTAAACTGTGATATTTCTTGCCACTGTATAGGAATTAAGATACCATGGGCTGAATTGTAAAGACACTAATCCCTTTTCATTTGCTCACTTAGGCCATAGGTTGTATCTTTAAGGTGTCAGTGGAGCGTCAGTAACTTGCCTGTATCTCTGCTGATGCTATACATGCCTGAAAATACATCTTGAAGTGGGACTGTAATTGAACAGGTTCCTCCAAAACAAGGACAAGACTGCTACTTGCAGAATATGACAGAAGGTCTCCTGTAGACTCAAGAAATAATGTCTTGAGTTTAGTTCTGTATACTCTGCAAACCTGTTTTTGCAGCATTGGTATGCAAGTTTTCCATGTCACTTAAGGCATTATCGGGTACAAATGAAACTTGAGGTTTTGAAGAAACTTTGAAGTTGGCCTCTGTTGTGAGAGAGGGTGAGCCGAACTCATCAAAGCAGGAAACTACTTACAAATAACTTCAGCTATGTGCAGTGTTCTTTATGGCTTGAACAGGGATGTTGCCTTACAACAGAGACAACCTTGATTTGAGACAGTTGAAGCTACATTGCCAGCATGGTGGAGTAATTTAACTTAGAACACCTTGAAAAGTTTGAATTTGAGCCATTTCTAATATCATTGATGCCATAATAACTATGATAGCCTGGGGCTATGAGAGTCTAAATAGTTTTGATTTATTTCAGGATCGTCCAGCAATGCAGCTGTACCAGCCAGGAGCTCGAAGCCGAAGCAGATTGTGTCAGTATGAAGACAGTGCTGCAAAGTCCACAGATCAGGGAGCGGATAAGAAACAGGAGAGTGAGACCGGTAATACGAAGGAAGAGGAGTGACTAGTATGCAAGCCTTATGTGTTCTGACTGTCTGTGCAGCCAAAGAGCATGTACTACGCAATCCAGAAGTGCCTTCGACGCAAAGAAGGAACAAAGGAAGAAAAGGGGGCATTGTGCTGTTGGATGTTTCTGGTTCAAGAACCTCAGTTGTAGATTCGGAATTTGAAATGTGTTCTCATTGTATTTTCAATTATTTGAATTTATTTTCCCAGCATCTAACTACAACAGAGAAGAGAATCTTTGCAAAGTAGGACTTTATGGCCTTAAGTATGATAATAAATGAGTCATGCGGTCAGGAGGAGATGACACCTGGATCTAAAGCCAGAGCTTCACTCTAAAGCAATCGGAGCCAGTGTTTGATGCGCTTAAGCAGAGCAAGCTTGAGGTTGCCCGGAGTTAATGCAGGTGTTGCTGTGTTGCATGGTGCCTCTCCCTGAGGCAGTGATAGCTAAATTACGTCAGTGTAGTACGGAGACAGGGCTGCAGGCTGGGGTTGTTGAGGTGTTGGTGAACAGGAGCCTGCTGGCACACGAAGAGGAGAACATCTGGCACGGCAGTAATGATGTGAGGGAGGGAGAGACCTTCCTCTTCAGTGGTTCTCTGGATAAAGTAACTAAGTTGGAGTGTATGAATAAGCTGGCTTAATATTGGAATACTTCTTGACACATTCTCATGTAAACTCTACCTACCTTGAAATGCCTATTTTTCACCAAATGTAGCTGATTTGAGCGTCCTGTTCTTTTCCAGCATTCTCCCTTCTTCAGCGTCTGAAATGTTTCCTAAATCCTGGCCTCTTGGTACTGCTTTATCTTCCCTCGTAACTTGAAGTATTGTTTTACAGCCCAGAAAGCGACTTCACCAGTAGCAGCTCCTCCCAAGCTAGCGAATTTTAGCCATAGCGATTTTGTACTAAAACCAATAAACTCGCAGAAACTCGTGCTGCTGCCGTCCCTCAG